CGTCTCTCCCACCACCAGGATTACCAATTCCGCCTCCTGGCAGATTGACCCCGCCTAGTAGTCCTAATGTAGGCCAGCCCGTCAGGGAAGGCTGGGAACCTGTGGAATTGCAATTGGATTATTGGAGCAAACAAACGCAAGGAGAAAAGGGCAAGAATACATTGAGACAAGCTTTCAGAGTATTACACGTGCAAAGACTTCCACCGTTAGGAGAAGCTCCAGGTCATCATCTCTCCATGAATTACACGACCAAAGAAAAGAAACAAAAGAGTAAGTGTATAACGTTGAGAACGTAGATCGTCATTTTTCTAAATTAATAAAGTACTATATTAATAATTCGTAGTATAGATCGTAGATAGTTTTTTTTTTCAATCTACACATATCATCTTTAATATAATGCAATAGTATCTGCTGAACACCAGCGTATATCGGATGTTATTGAACATTTTTGGGTATATGTTTTTTTTTTTTTTTTTTTTTTCTTTTTTCTTTTCTTTTCTTTTTCCAGTAATGAGATTAGGAAAGAAGAAAGAAAAGGAAAAGGAGAACGAACCAAAGAGTCAAACTGTAGACGGTGTTACGCGTTTGATATGTTCGGCAAAAACTCATAACATTCCATTGAGAGGTAAGATTTTTAACTTAAAAAAAGCTTCAACATTTTATCGTTGAATACATGACGTTGTCGCATGGTATCGCATTATTGATTTTTTTTTCACTTCAGTGAGCATCGACGGTACCGAATGGTACAGTGTGAAATTTTTCCAACTATCGGCGCAGTGGCAAACGCACATCAAGACCTTCCCTCTAGCCCTGTTCGAGTACACCCCTCAGCAGCAAATTTTGAACCCTGTGTGAAGTTTCTCCCCTTTATATCGTTAATTAAATTTCCTTCAATTCTTGTATTCAATATTCCATGCGGGGGTAACGTTGAGACTGTGCTTGATTATTAGAAATATGCAATATCAATATAACCAGCAAATTCCTGGAACTGCCCCATTATCATTAAAGAGATTAATTGTTATAATTTAACAATAGTTATCGCAGAACAATCTACAATCAGCAATTTACCGATTATATTCTTCTATTTCCTAATTGCATACATAATCATATATTATAATTTCTATTTCTATTTCTTCGCATAATATTTGCATACTACAGTATATTTATTATCGAATGCGAGATCAATTTTCATTATAACGTTCATCGTAACATTGAAATTGATCCATAAACATGGGAAAGTGCAATTTTATTCTACAAAAATAAGATTTACTCATTGATTCTTTGACATATCACCGCATAGACTTTGTATGCAACTAAGGAGTCCAAAAGATGCATGTTGTTCTGATTTTATTGACTATAAGTTCATTATTGTCTAGCCAAATCTTTATTTCGACTATTTTATTTTTCTATAAGTCTCCCTTAAGTTGTACATACGTTTGTTTGATTATAAGATGGAAATGTTGCCGGATCTCTCAAAACTGATTTTTTACGATTATCTTTTATCCATATCATTAAATTACGACATATAACTATAGAATATAATAGATTTACATTTTCTTACTTATACCATAGATTTAGAAATTATATTTTCTTCTTTCTTCTTTTGTTTTTTTTTTTTTTTGTTGGGGCGGGGAGGGGAGCGCTTGGGGGAACCGACGATATGGATAAATAATACTTTTAATGCACAAATATATAAGAACCTATATATGTTATAATATTGAAAATAGATTTATTAAGTACAGAAAATATGGGACAGTATTAATATCAAGAGAAACGAGATATTACTTTGAAAAATATTGTCAATGTAAACAAATTCTGAAAAAAGTGTGATATTAATAGACACGTTCCATTTAAACAATTAAGTTTTCTACTAAATATTAGACAATTTCAAACTCTTGACTTCCACTGCAACAATAATGAAAAAATTCTATGTTCATACATTGTGCCATATAATATGTTTGTGTCAAACATTATATACGTATCCTACTTTAATTGACAATTATTTATTCCTTTGAAGATGAACTGACTGATATTTGCATTAATTTCATTACAATTTTAATAATTTCTTATGTTTACTTCTTTTCCAAGATACGTTTTATATCCTATTTTGTAAGCTTCTGATCCAAAACATACTCTATTTTCGGATATTTTTATTTAAAAATATGTCATTGATATAAGAAAAGTTCCATTACAATAGTAGTAGTAATTGTATCAATATTGCTATTACGATTACTACTGCCCTTACCACTACCATTGCTGCTGCTGCTGCTGCTGCTGCTGCTGCTGTTGCTACTGCTACTGCCATTGCCGTTGCTGCTGCTGCTGCCGTTGCCGTTGCTGCTGCTGCTGCTGCCGTTGCCGTTGCTGCTGCTGCTGCTGCCGTTGCCGTTGCTGCTGCTGCTGCCATTGCCGTTGCTGCTGCTGCTGCTGCCGTTGATGCTACTGCTGTCGCCGTTGCTGCTACTGCTGTCGTCGTTGTTGCTGCTGCTGCTACCACTACCACTATTCTACTACTGCTACTACTCTACTACTACTGCTGCTAGTACTCTACCACTACTAGAAATATTATTATTATTATTATTATTATTATTATTATTATTATTATTATTATTATTATTATTATTATTATTATTATTATTATTATTATTATTATTATTATTATTATTGTTGTTGTTGTTGTTGTTGTTGCTGCTGTTGTTGTTGTTGTTGTTGTTGTTGTTGTTATAGTTGTTGTTGATGTAGTTATTATTATTATTATGGTCACCATCTTTAAAATACTATATATTAATACAAGTACGGATTTTAGTTTGGCCAAATGTAAAAAATTTCTCTTTTCTGTATTTCTGTCGTTTACTAATGATATTTGCATAAAATTTGCTTATACAATTTTATACTTATTTAGGAGGCATATTGTAAATATACAACAATATGGATATTTCTTTAAATAATGTAAATGTTATCTTTGACAAGACATAGAGATAACATATATGTACATACATAATAATTATGTATTTTTCAACTTTTTTCTTTCTTGATAAAACGATAAAAGGTAAAAACGATAATGTTTTACTGTTCGCGCAACATATGTGTTACTTTGACTGCCTAAAGCCAAACTAATGGAATACCTATCTGATTTGTAAAGAAGATTCTATCTACATGTTATTTTATAACAAGTACGACGATAGCAAGAACGATGATGATTATTACGTCTTGCCAAAGTAAAAAATAGTTAATGTTTTAACATGCTCTCACATCATTTGCTAGTCTCTACCGTTAGTTATTAATAAGTATACGTATAAATGTGTGTTTATAAATATTAATGGTGTGATTAGGTGAAAAGTATTTTTTTGAATTTTTAGAAATAATAGTACTACTAAAGTTAAAATCATGAAGGGCAATGCCGAATAATATGTGTTCATTCCGAATGATAGATCAAAATTTATAAAAATTGACATAAGAGTATATCTATCATTTTATAAAATATTTGTTATCATAAAAATGTTTGATAAAATTTGCTTTAACACATAACTTAAACAATCACATAACTTTGAATTGTTTACTTACACTTTTCAAATATGCTAAAATATTCCAAGCGAATAATCTTATTGTGCATCTACGTCATATATCCTTCAATTTTAATCATAGAAAACAGTTATTTTGCTACACCTATTCGTTACTTCAACAGCTCGCACGCAAGATGTCATAATTTGATAGTTGATAAAATGTTTTATTTGAAGATATTATATGAATGTGCACATTTATGAATAAGAAAACGCCAAATAACCATATAAAATATGTATGCCTCGTGTATTTAAAATGACAAGTATTTACATACTCGTACATCTTTGTCTACAAGCTGAATATTTATAATGCATAGTATAGATCCGTAGTATTCGATTAAATTAAAAGACAGAGATTCTTAGTGTTTAATAAAAAGTATATACTCCTTTTTTTACATTTCTTTCCCTTCAAAAAAATATTATTAAGTGAATAATTGTACTCTTAATGTTTTTTCTTTTTTTTTTTTTTTTTTTTTTTTTTTTTTTTTTTATAGCCATCTTGTATTAATTAATGACTTTAATATAAAACTTAAGCCTAACAGGAATTACACACACACATATGATATTTATTGTTAAATGATAATTAATAAATAATGATAAAATCTGCATTATAAGCCCACGGTCTTACGATATGTAAATAAGTAAGCAAGTAGTTTGAGAAACATAATTCAATGTTTTTAATTCTAGTCAATCTTATGTTACATACATCATTCTTTCATATAAAAATAAGAGGTATTCGAATCAGCATAGTTTAGAAAAATCTTACAATTAGATGAACTTTTATTATTTAACTTAACATTTCTTTAGATCATAACGCTTACATAATACATTAATTAATATTTATCTTTGGTATTGATTGTTATTTATTAGGAAGAATAAATATAAAAAATATATGGTACGGATAGAATAAGACGCCTTCATTGCATTTACAATGAGATGTCTGCATGTATGATGTAAGTACATACATATAAATATAACGTCACGTTCTCAATCCTATAAAAAACATAATATCCACACGTTTTTATAATGCGACATTTATTTCTATAATCAAAGCCGTTGTAGAGTTTTCTTTTTTCTCATTATCTATATTGTAATTTATTAGTTCTGATGTCTCAATTATCTAATTGCACATGATCGATTGTACAATTATGAGAGCATATTGTTTTTTACCTATTTAGGTAAAAAATGTTTTGTATCATCATCTTCATCATCATCATCATCAGCAGCAGCAGCAGCAGCAGCAGCAGCACCAGTAGTAGTATCGTCGTCATTACGATTATCGCTATCATATTAAATAGATATAATAAAAGCACACACGTGTCAAAGAATACACGTGTCATACATACAGCTTTTAACAATCACCATTCCTCGAATTCTTCAGATAAAAGTAGAGGATATAGGATGTTATGATAAACTTAGTAAAATTAATAATATCACATCTCTGTTTAAGTTGTCTATATTTTTATTAATAGAGTTGTAAATTTTTTGTAGCTATCAAAGACAAACAACAACAAGGACAATTTATAATTTGTCTTATCGATCGTTGTTCTAAGAAATATTGAATAAAAGTGTATAGCGTATTATTAAATGTAATGTTCAAATTCAGGATATTATTAGTAATCAGTAGAATAAAAAGATGTGTGTCCTGCGCTGCTTGTGGATTCGCCATATGCAATATATATTACTACTTAAATATTTATTAATTTTATAGTGTTTACGAGATAGATAGATAGATAGATAGATAGATAGAGAGAGAGAGAGAGAGAGAGAGAGAGAGAGAGAGAGAGAGAGAGAGAGAGAGAGACAAGTTCGCAACATTCAAAATAATTACTTCAATAACGAATGCAAAGTTTTGTACAGTTGAAAATAATAAGAAATTTGTTCGTAATGAATTTATCAAGTAGAAAAGAACGATGCCTATATGTATAGCTCAAGAGATACCAACTGTCCATACAACCGTCATAGCTCACCGCCAGTTTAAGATATATTTATTAAAGATTAAAAAATGGTACGAAAACCTTGTAATTACATATACGTTTACGAATAAATAAAATGAAGAAAATGAAAATATGTTAAGAGACAAATAAAAATATTCCATTGATGGTTCAAGAAGTTTGACGTATATCAACATAACGTAATTTTTAACGCAAAAAGTAATTTCAATTTGGCCGGTAATCACAGCACCATACGATATTACATATACGATAAACTAACGACAAATTTATAAATAGACATTTACATATAGCCATGATCAATGCATTCAAAATTTATAGTTCTGTAATAGTTTACTTTTAATAATGTTCGAAATTCTGAAAATGCAGACGTTCGTATTCAATGGCGATTATTGAAGTTTTCGACTGTCCTGCTGTCAGTTCCCAAGCGGAAACTGAACTTCCTCCAGGAAGAAGCAACCTCCATATAACTTGATCGGTATTACTGCGATCTAGCGAAATCTATATCTAGATTATAGAACGTATGGCGAATGACTCCAAATTTTAACTTCGCATTTCTGTCACATGCGCTATGAGCAAAAAGTGCCCAACGTCCTTAATAAAATAAATTTTTATTATTTGTTCAAACTTTATTTCTCATTGTCAAAATTTCTGAGATTTGATATAGATTCAAAATGATTTCAAAATCTTTTACAATTCGTTTCAATAAATATCTACCAACGCGTATTTATATCGTAAAATTGAAATATATAGCAAAAGATGCATAAATACGATGCGTGTATCATATAATAGCGGAATCTGTATATAAATAATGGATAGAGGGGGGGGGGGGGGGGGGGGGAAGCCGCGCGCGCGCGCGCGCGCGAGAGAGAGAGAGAGAGAGAGAGAAAGGGAGAAACGTTAGACCTTTTAAGATGACCTCTCGTGCAAACTTTATAATCTTGACGAAAAGTTGCATTATATTAATCATTATATGTATAATGAAAAGTACGCGCGAGGAGTCAGGTAAATTGGCCGTTCAAACTGCTAGCGTTTTCATTGTAAAAAGTAAAAATAATTGATCTCCCGTGATTTGTTTCGATCTCGAAAGATTACTTAAACAAACGTTTAAAAGTATAAATTTATCGTATAGACATATTATTTCATTATCTTTCTTTTTCTTTTTTTATAAGATAATTTTCTTGTAAAAAATTCTCTGAATATACTCGAGGAATTGAAACATTTCGATTAATTTCACGTATTTTATCATTTTGTTCTTGCATCAATGTTACGCACAATGATGCTGCAACAGTTGATACAATTCTAATTCTAGCCTTGCTAATATGATATAACGTCGATAAGAAATAATCGTACTGGACGTATGTATGATCTTTCTTCGTATAATATATTTTATCGAGGTCGGGGCTAAATTCGGCCAGATGTAAATAGTCGTGTATATAAGCGAGCACTATTACAGAGTTGAGATATATGAAAGGGATATTATATATGTAAGTAAAAACGTAATAATCGGTATATCTCTACCAATATATAATTCAACGGCTTTGATGAAAAAAAAGACTCGTTGTATTATATTTAATTGGGATAAATATTCAATATTTATGTTTCCGAGAGTGTATATAAAAATTCCATTATCATAAAACCTAACTGAGATTATATTGTTTTTAATTCCTTTAATGGTTTATAAAAATCTATCTGTGTTTTCACTTATTATGGATAATAATGAATCCAAATGCACGTGTGTGTGTGTGTGTGTGTGTGTGTGAGAGAGAGAGAAAGAATATCTCATTTTGAAGATAGAGTTGATAAATAAATCAAATGCAATGCATAAGTAGATACGATAAATCTCCGATTAATATATAAAAATGCAACAAGAAAAGAAGATTTTTTAACGAAAAACACACTACGATTTTCCTTTTTTGAACCTTTGTCTAGCTAAAGCTTTACTATATTTTGGATGTCTTTCTTTTTCACTTTCCTTATCGGCTTCGACATTCTCAAACTCGTCCTTGTTGCTTTCGGGATAAAGATCTATCGGTGGTTCTAGTAATGATTTCCTTTGACATTTTACGAAATAACGAAATCCTTTTGCAATACAGAATCCTAGCATTGCGATCGAAATCGTCAGTAAGGCCATTAATAATGGGTGCTACAATTCATAGGGAAAAAGAAAAAAGAAGTTGCATTCTCTTTTGCATTCCTTATATGACATAGAACTTGAACTTTTCTCGTTACATACCCAGAATACTTTTTATCTTACCGTCAATGTGGGCTTGTTTGTAAATACATAATCTGCTATAACGACTATTACACCAAGAATGATACCGACTCCAGCGCCGAGCCATGGGATTTGCTGATCGGCTGCAACGTAATGCGATATAATTAATGAAACTGTTAAAGGCCGGTTGCATTATCGGATGCGTTACCTCTTCTATCCTTCATCAGCATTCCAGATGCTTTATTAATTGCTTTCAAAATTCCAGGCTCGTTTGGTTGCAACGACAATGCTTTGTTATATGATTGCAGAGCTTCGCTAAAACGGAAAGTTTGCGATTCTACTTCGGCTTTCCTAAAATAACCCTAAAACAAATAGTTCATATCGTTCCGCCTTAAAGAATAAATGTATAAATCCATTTAACATATATTTCCATTTTTACTTTCGTCCAGTCAGGTTTCAATTGTATAGTCATCAGAGCGTCTTCCATCGCAAAGTGATATTGTTGCATCTTTAAAAAGACAAAGGAACGATTGCTGTAGAGAGAATAATTTTGTGGATCTAATTTGATAGCATGAGTATAATGAAACATAGCCTCTTCATATTTCTGTTCCTTAACACAGGCATTTCCTAGTTCCTTCAGATTTTGTACCTGAAAGTTAGGAAAGTTGATTTTTGATAATCCATCGACAAAAGCTTGCTTTTAATACAATGAAAATCAAATAATTTGGATTCGATGACGTTAAAATTCTTTTCGTAAAATATATATATATATATATATATGTATGTATATATGTATATATATATGTATGTATGTATATACATATACATATATAAAAATTTTTATATATATATATATATATGTAAAAGGAAAAACGTAGAGCAGGTTATAAAAATAAAATATCCTGAAACTCACCTCGGCCTCTCGAGAATTTGACATTTTTTAGGTATGCTCGGACGAAAGTTAACCTCGAGATTACGAATTCTCTCATGAGATCGGGACTATCGTACGTTATATCATTGTCTTTTAAAATATTATAATATTATGCTTATTGAAAGTCCATAAAAAATAATCAACACAAGAGCAGACGAGATGGTCGTTTCGTCGCGTCTACTTACCGGTGCGGTCATGCGCACGACGAGTCTGCTGCGCCACTCTACTACCCGTTATCGCAATATCGAATCTATCGCATTACCGTGTGCCATTGCGTTTCTTCCTCTCTCTTCCCCCACCAATCAATTCGTCTGCTCATTCACGTCGCGGGCACGGCACGCATGCGCGCATTCTACCATATAATAATTACCATGCGCGGCGCACTGTTGCACGGCCGTTCATACTTGAGTAAGTGAGTACTTCAACTTGTGAGTGCGTCACTAATATATTCCCACATATAACTTCACTTTTTCTTGTACGTTTATAAGCGGTTTATACCCGTGAAAGAAAAGGAAAAGGAAAAGGAAAAGGAAAAGAAAAAGAAAAAAAAAAAACGAAGAAATTCTTCTCCTTCTTCCTTAATTCTAAAATGTAAAGGAAAGGATAAAAAAATAAAAACGAGCATAGTGTATTGACGACAATAACGATAAGTGTAACGTGAATTGCGACGATAATGGTTTCGATCGTGTCATTAAAAGAAAAAACAAAACGATCGATTTAGGATAACGGGTTGTACGATGAAGAGACGGTAACCACATATTTTCGTTCATCATTTTAATGATATTCTCCATTTCATACAAATTAAGTGGGGAGAGTTATAATACAAACTTAAAATATATACATACACATCGATATCTCGTGAAACTTTTTCAAATACGTAGCTACGCAACTCATTCGTTAATCCGTAATCTATAGATTTTCCTTTCGTAGCGCGCATCAACATTTCTTGCTAATATATTTTCTTTTTTATTCCCTCTGAATCTACATTGTGTTTTGTGTATTACTGTGCAACGAAACTGGCAAGTCTCTCGAATAATCTACATTATTTTAACTCATTGTCGGCTACCCGTGTTCGGCGGGAGTACCGAACGCGCGCGCGCGCGCGCGCCGCGTTCCTGTACTTTTGGATGGAACTTTTCGGAAAAGACGACGAAGGACCGACGGTACGAATTCTACGATTCGTCCCGCGCGTTCGTCTTCCACGGTAAAAAATAAAAAGGAGATTGAAACGGTGATTGCGACAGTTTTGGAGAAAAACGAGAGAATGACGGACGACAAGAAATAAAGTATCGAGCACTCCTTCCAAAAATACGACGCGCCTGGAGATACGACGGATGGACTATTTGTATTTTTTTCTTTTTTCTTTTTTATTATTATTATTATTATAATTTAAATTTATTTCTTTCGTTTTTTTTCTTCCTTCCGAGCTTTTTTCCGAGTAACAAAGGACAGAAATTCTTATTTTCTCAGGCGCGTCGATGCAATTATTGCCCATTTTGGGACGGAAATCATCTGGGACGATATGGTACTATCGATATACGACCTATTCGAATAGGTCGCCGCTGATCGTCCACCATTTTAACGCTTTTTTCCTTTCGCCTCTTTCGACAAAAAAAAAAAATAATGAATTCGATTCGAGAACGTCGTGCTTGGTGTAGATTAAAGTAGTATACGCCTAATTCTTCCTTTATTTATTTCTGCATTTTATACGCACTAACCACATTCAGCAGCGTAACTCGTTATCATAAACTTAAACGTGAATTCCCTCGCTCGATCTATCCTTAAAATACACTTTATTTTATACTATACTCCTCCGTAAGCACATCGTCAACGTAACAATCATTGGTCGTATTCGACTCATCGTAACCGCAGCACGTTTCTGATTTCTCTCCTCCTCCTCCTCCTCCTCCTCCTCCTCCTCTCTTTCCTTCTTCTTTTTTCTTGCGATTTTTCATTCGATACTCTCATGTAACATGCACGATTCCCGAATAAAATAAACGCACGCGATAAGTTCAAACGCGAGGCACCGACCGAAGAAAGAACGGAAAAAAGATGAGAAGCCGAGACAATATCGATCACGTTGATCTAGGCATATGTTGTATCTTCTTTTCTCTCCTTCGTAGGCACGTATTCGCTCGACTTTTCTCGACGACTTGTAATAGATCGTTTGCGAACTCCATTCTCTCTCTCTCTCTCTCTCTCTCTCTCTCTACATATTATACATATATAAATATATATATATATATATATATATATATATATGTATATATATATGTATATATATATATGTATATGTATATAGAAAGAAAATCTGCGTAAAATAGATGAAATGAAAATCATGCTTGTACGCCAAAAGCATCAGTTTTTTCATCTTCCGTGCGTTCTACGGAAGAAGAGTAAGAAAGAGTAAGAGAGAAATATGGAGGAAAAAGATAGAAAACCAAGAAACGTAAGTTCACTCTACACGGCGAACTTTTCCGCTCTTTCCCGAAGACATTTCTAACGAGTCGAAAACATTCGACTCAATTTAGCCAACAATATAATTCCACTTTATCCGTGTCTCTTTTGTTTTGTATACTTGTAATTAGTGAATATAATATATATATATGTATACATTCACTGTAAATATATAGGTAATAATTGTAAATATACAACTATATAATGAATATACGAGCCTTTGTCGAGGTGAGCAATAAAAGAATCGCCGGTACATCGTTTATATATTTATACAGGGTAACGTCAAAAATACTTGAATCGTCATCGCCAGCCGTAGAAAAATAAAAAGGAAAGAAAACAAAAAGAAAGAATAGAGAAAAGAAATACGCAAGGAAAGGCGTGAAAATTTTTGTTCTCTTTCGTCCAACGTTCGTCGCGATAGAAATAGAATAGAAATTCTACGATAGTGTTTTATATCAATATCTGTGAGTTCCATTCAACCCGAGAGCACCCATCATGTCAAAGGCCTTAGCTAAAAGATCGATGTAGATGATTACCGATTTTCGTGACATCGTGTCACTGGCAAAATATTCTTTTCGTATTTCTATTGCGAATAGAAATGCAACCGATTGAATCATAATCCATGCGAAGAATCTCAAAGTTATTTACTTTTCACTTATTATTTTCACCTACACAAAGTATGTATCTAATATGTACATACGTGTGTAAATACATACGTAGATAGAGAGAGATTATATGAAAGAGATATCGTACGAGGATAAGCCACGAGGACAAGAATTCTATTGAATCAAAGAGATGACATCATTTTTTGATCATGGTGATATATCTCATGTTATTAAGAAATATGAATAATAAATAACGTAGTAACACACAAAACGCAAGCATTTTTACACGCACCTTATAATCGTTTTAAACCGATTGCTGCTATATTTAACGAGTTTCTTGCTCTCTAGTTGATCCCTATATCAATCCTAAATATACGAAAATCCTTTCATCAATTTTCAACGCTCTAGTTATTCCAGAATTATACGATGAGAATGAAGGATTAGCGAAATCAAACCTGACTTTTCCTTCATTATCATCTTAACGTCATTATACGTCACATTGCTGCATTCTTTTCCCAAGCCATTTTCAACGCTATCTTTATTAGTTAGTTGTTTAATAACCTACATTCAAATAACAATTATGATATATGTACGTAATAGTAATAGCTGCCGCGTCGATTCTCTTTTATTTTTTCTTCGTTTACTCTCTCTCTCTCTCTCTCTCACACGCGCGCGAGAGCACGCTATGGACTACTCTTTGCCGTTACGCAGCCTAGACCAGGCGTTAGCGACTAAATCGCCAGAAATTTCTAAATTCGTAAGAATATATGAGCTCGCTAGCACCTGATCGCGGCCATTACAAAAACACGAGGGATTCACGGGGGACTCATTTGGTCGGCTGATTTTTCGTCTTTCGTCGAGCAAATCGCAAACGACTGGTCGACAGTGCGTAATGGCTCTTGATGTTTCGACGTTGCGACATCGATCATCGCTCTACCGGCTGAAATGCGTGATACATTTTGAAGAGTATAAAACAAGAAAAACTTTATTCGTTATTAGAAATCTTGATTAATCTTCCGACTACGATAATCGAAGAACGCGCGGGGAATCCTTTTCTCTTCCTTCTTTGCTTTCTCTTCTACCAGTGATTATTTTGAGAGAAGAGTTTCGAATTTAGCACGTTCAATCATCCCTAATGATATCAACATATAGAGGCAATATTTTTGCGCGATCTCGCAAAAAATTATTTAAGTAATGAAGAGAAAGAGACAACAATATTGTTTATAAATTTCCTTCTCTTTTTCTATTCTATCGCTCTTTCTCTCCTACCCAATTTCATTTCTTTTTTCTTCATCTATAACGTTCCATCACATTCATACTCGATCTGAAACGAAATGTACATGCGAAATTAACGAAATGTACACGGGCGATTTTTATGTATAACAAAATCTCTAGCATCACAGTCAAAAAGTATAGTACTACGCGCGATATAAAAACGGACATGCATGTCTCTCTCTCTCTCTCTCTCTCTCTCTCTCTCTCTCTCTCACTCTCTCATATTCCATTTCTAGAAAAAGTAAAACCTGTCAGCGGAACGAGCACGCCTGTCGTTTGAGAAAAGAAGATACGGAAGATTATATTCACTACTACTACACTACTGCTACTACTATTCCAACTGCTACTACTACATCTACTGCTACTGCACTATTACTGCTACTACTGTTGCTAATAATAATAATAATAATAAAAATGATAATAATAAACCCTCAATTAGACGTCCCGTACTCGATTTAAAGTACTAAAGTTTTCCATTTATTTTTCTAGTCTCCATCGTCGTCCATCTTTTGCTAGCAATTCTTTTTATTGTTAAATTCAAAAAGGTTGAACGTTTCGTTTGATTTTTACTCCAAATGTTTGATACATGCATAGATCAACGTTCAACATCGTGTGCGTATTGGACGAAAGATAAACGTATATATAAAGATATAAAATGAAAGGAGAGGGATGTAGAATCAAACGATATTAATAGGATTTGAAATAAGAAAAAGCGATAATTTAGATGAAATTAAAAGAGAGAGAGAGAGAGAGAGAGAGAGAGAGAGAGAATAAAGGCAGAACAATATGCAGCGAGAGGAGAAAGAAGAAACATAGGTAAAATAACGAAAAAAGGACAAATATTGACAATGCCTATCTATAAAACTAACGGTACTTGATTTAAAATCTACGCGATATTTATTCTTTTTATACAAAGTCCTTTTGTAAGACACGATAACGCAACTCTTTTAAAAATTCATTTAGACAATACGTTCATTTTTTATTTTCGATTATCATACGGCACTTGTGCCGTTCGAGGAAAGAGGCTCGAGCATTTTTCATTTATTTTTTACTTCTAATCATCGCTTCAACCACGCCAATCCGACGTAGAAATGTCATTTCATTCGAACTTCCTTCCTCGTTTACAACCTTTATTGATGCGTCATTAACTTTCGCGTATGAAATAATGCACGTGAGATGTATGTGTATACGTATGTATATATAATATCTATAGTCATTTATTCACGCTTCATTACAATTGGCACTTGGATTTTTTCACCTTTTAATGGGTAAATTACGTAAATGTATATGCGTCTTGATAGGAAATGGTGGAAAAAAAAGAGAGAAAGAGAAAAAGCGAGCGAGCGAGCGAGCGAGCGAGAGAGAGAGAGGGGGAGAGAGAGAGAGAGAGAGGGAAAGAGACGCCAATAGGATTTGTATATTTTCTCATCGATGTTACTTTCGTTTATATTAAGTCTATGCGATTACGATCACTCAACGATACTTCAACGCTGATAACGAGACACTATTCAGGCAGTATTTAGCGTATCGTAATATTGTATTGTTTTCTTTTACTTTTTCTCTTTCTTTTTTTTTCCTTTTTTTATATTATAAGACACTTTATACACACTCTGCGAGAAAAACTAAGACGCGAATTTGCAAATCATCTTCGTTTCTTTCTTTTGTTTTTCATTATAGCGACGAATATTTTGGTATTTTGATTTCGACGCGAATTTAAAATACAAACGTTTGTGGAAACATCGAGATTGTTTCCGAAGATAAAACAAAAACAGAAAATTCGGGAATTACTCTTAAACGATGTCAGATCGTTTTCGGTCAAGATTTTGATTTAAGTTTATTAACAATCGATTAAAATAAGTGCTACGTATTTGTTCTCTCTTTTTGTTTCTCACGTATGTAGTTTTAACTTTTGAATATATACGAGAGAGAGAGAGAGAGAGAGAGAGAGAGAGAGAGAGAGAGAGAGAGAAGGGGGGGGGGGGGGAGAGAAAGAGAAAGGATAAGATTTTCAAATAAGGTAAAATCAATTGCGATTGGTTAAATTTATAATAGGATGAAAATATTTCAATCTTATAATACGTTTTGATTCGTTTCGAAGGCATAAGTTTCTTTTGGCGAAACAATCGTCGAACAAACATGAACCGACAAATATTCGCAATTGCACATATATACTGTATTGTTCAATCGAAAAATATGAAAGATATTTTTCGGGATAAGAGAAAATAATATCCAAAGGGAACGTAAAGTAATAAACATCTCCAAGAAAGAAACAGTGCATCGTCTTTTGTCAACGTTAAATAAATTTCCGAAAGGAATTCCATCATCTTCGTAATAACAAAAAGACAAAATTTCAAGAAACAATATTTCTCTTACATCTAATGATTTTTCGATAAAGTTATAGAATGCTATTCGTAAAAAGAAATCCTTAATCTGTCCATTGGTCGTGCATTTCTTCTTTTCATAAATAGCGCATACAAAATTTGTATTATTTTCTATTTTACCAAATGCTTCTCTAAGATGATCTGCCCTTTGGCACTGTTTTTCTCTTTCGTAGATTATAAATTAATTATTATTCGTCTCTGATAATTCGCATACAACGTAACATACATACGTAGGTATACGCACGCACGTATATATACGCGTGTATATATATATGTTGTACGGAAGAAGAGAAAGAAGAAGAGAAAGAAGAAAAGAAAGGAGGGAGGAAAAGAGAGAGGAAGAGAGAGAGAGAGAGAGAGAGAAAGAAAGAGAGAATATTATCTTATTTATATGTATGTATGTATGTATGTATGTATATCTCTATCAACGAAATTATCTTCAGAGAATAAAAGTATTAATTACAATAATATTTACAAAGAATCATTGAATGGTACAACTTGGTAACTACAAAATCTTGCTCGTTGATCCGCATAGATCTCATGTCAGTCCCGAGCCTCAAAATTAGTACAAAATTCGATATGTATGACACAGCATGTGAACGATAAGAAAGAATTAATAGAGCAATGGTCATTATAGAGATTTCTTTATTAACATTTGAAATGCAAGTGATCGAATTTAAAACGACAATAAGGGTTTCGATTAAATCGAAATTTCCGCAACAAGAACGGAGAGTGTTGAAAAGTAAAAAAACGCACAAATTAATATTTGATTTTATTTTTATTACATTCTTAAATGCACGTTAAGAGCAAGGAAAGAAAACAGAACTCCTAAATATCTACAAATAGCAATATATAATAATATCCAATTTATATATAACAATGAAATATATTAACCAATTCCTTTACCTTTAATTACAACTTATAAAGTTCTGATCTTTTTTACTTTTTTTTCAGATTTTATATTTTTTATATTACGAACACACACACACGTTCTTAGTTTCATATCTATGGGTAATATGTACGTTTATATATAAAAATAGTTTATGATATATATATATATATATATATATATATATCATAAATATATATGTGTGTGTGTATATATGTATATATCATATCGTGTTTCTTCTCCTGATTCTTGTTGCAAGTAGAGTTAACAAAGTGTTCTCGTCAACGCTGTGCCATACGATATTCTATTGGCATTAAGTTATCCTCTTCATCGGGCAGTTAGTCTTGTGTATTTACGCGTACAAACAACAATATCCTCTTTATCGAACTACGCTCAACCGTCGTTATAATAAGAAACAAATCTTTAGAGTACTAATCAATAAAAATATTTCTCTTTGCTTTTTAATATACCAAATAATACGTTAACAAAAATCAGGATATACAAACAAGACAAGTGAAATATAAAATTTTTGTTGTCAGGCTTGGAAGGTTAAATTAAAATTCTTTGCTTTCTCGTATGGTATTATAACATTAACGATTAAGTAGATACGGATTAAATTAATACGAATGAAAGTCAAATCGAGTACATATCATTTCACATGATATCCTAAATTAGTAACTCTCTTAAACTGGACATATTTCCATCGTGTGAGGATCATAAGCGTCGTGTTCGACTCTGTACTGCTTCTTCGCATCTGCTTCTGTGTCGTGTATGTGTGTGTGTGTGTGTGTGTGTTTCTGTAAAATAAAGCAAAGCTAATTCGTTTTTCATGAGTGTATCTTTTACGATAAAAGTGGGTGCTATATCACAACACTTTTTCTCGTAAGAATAGAGAATCTTAGATTTACGATTACAAGTGTATTCTTCTCTTTACTTCCATCAAAAGAAGAAACGAAGATGATTGGAAAAAAGGGAATGTCAGTCGAACCTTTAAATAAGGGAAGACGGAAATAATGACGCGATGACAAAAATGCAATGTAAAGTTATAACTTGGCAACGTTCGAAGGAAATGGTCCAAATAACTAATAGAAGGGAGAATTATATATATGTATATATATGTATATATATATATATATATATATATAAAAATACATACATATATACATACACACACACACACACACAAATATATATATATATATATATATATATATATATATATATATATGTATGTATGTATGTATGTATGTATGTATGTATGTATTTTTCCAAAATAAAATCAGTGCATTTGGAAGTGGAGGATAAGGCGATTGAGCTTGCGCAGATGGCTTCTTTTTCTCCAATGATGTTCACTGCCTTTTCTCTTTCTGTTCTTTGTATAGACAGAAGCATCGTAGCAGAAAATAGTTGTTCCCAATTGTCATAGATATAATAGACGTTTACTAAGCTGTTTCCTGTCCCTGGAGCTCTGGAAGGACGGTTTGGTCGATTTTACATGACTCTATCGAAAACAAAGAATACGACGAGCAACAACAAACAATCGTCTTTCCCGTCCTAATAGTTTTAGGCATACCTTTGGCCATTATTATTTTCTTTCGCATAAAGGGATCCTCAATAAATTATAATCTTACGGTTTAGGGGACTGAATTTTTCTTCTTTCTTGTATATTTCATATGCGTAGGTTATAAAAATATAATAAAATAAAATAAGCTGTAAAAAGTTTATTTCCTAAACAAGGGATAAACGGTAAAATACCTTGCTGGGAATATCTCAGATTTAAACGGGAAAGAGAATCAATACACCGATTGTCGCTCATGCTTATGTGACGCGTATAACATGCTATTCGTGGGTTCTATCACATACATGCATACACACACATATATATATATGTGTGTATGTGTGTGTGTGTGTGTGTGTGTGTGTGTGTGTGTGTGTGTACGTATGTATATACATGTACATATATATACATATGCTGCATCTCCCATCGTAATATTATAAAAACAGGTCCATAAAGTAGAGAAAAAAGCAACAAACTATCTCTCTTTTAATTCAAAAACGTTGTAAACGTTGGAAACAATTACTTCTAAGAAAACAGGATTACCTACAAGATCTAACGTAAGAAGAAATCTTTATGCGTTTTAACAATAATAATACGAAGAAAGTTTTATATATAGGTATATATGGACGCGAAAGAAATGGTCAAATCGTGGACGCGCATAGTATCTAACGATAAGATAAAATGCAATATGTATCAGGAGTTAATCGTAAAAGATATACAATAAGATAGATTCTGTAACTTTAAGCGATCACAATAAGCTTCGATTATACTACGATCTGTCCAAGGCAAAATGCTGATTTTTCTATGCACGATATGTAATGTGCACGATACAATTCGATCGTCTACGACGAATCATCTCAACGATTCTCATGCTTTTTCTTTCTCTCTCCTTTTAACCTCCACGTACTCTGTCTCCCTAACCCAACCGGCCTCCCCCCTCCCCTCACCCCTTTTTGCACTTTTCCTCTCTCCGTCTATTTATCTATCTGTCCTAAAGAAAGTACGAGCATATACGGTCGTAATATAAATGTATATGAATCCTGGGAGATCCGCGTGCACTAGTATATCTCGCAAACGATATTCCTGCGCATTTATTTTCGTCCATTTCTTTATTCTTTTTTCTTTTTCTCTTTCATTCCCTTTCGACAGAAAGGTGAAGAATATGCAGTTTTGAGAACGCTTGGCACGTGATCAACCCAAGAGTACCTCTTGGACCCTCTTCTATCTTCACGCAATTTTAGATTTATATTTTTTTTTTTTTTTTTTTTTCTTTTTCTTTTCTTTTAATCTATACCTAACACTTTTAAACTGGACGACACACTTGGACGCGTGCGCACGGTAAAGTAACTTTTTGTTAGAATTAAAACTACTTTTTTCTTTCTCTCACTGTCTACTCTCTTCGTTGCCCCGTCATACTTTGACTTTTCCAAGTTGCGTCGTCGTGGCCGTGGAGGATGTGCGAGCTTTGAACTCGACATATATGTGTGTACTTACTTATCTCGCAACGTACGCGAGCATTTGGAAAGATCTTCGGCCGTCCCCACTCACCGCTACCGCACAACGCCCGCCTTCGAGATATTAGCCGATCACTTTTTTCTCTCGTTTTATTACTTCTTTTTTTTCCCCTTTTTTGTTTCTTTTTTTTTCTTTTCTCTTTTTTTCTTTTGTCATTTTGCATCTTTGCCTTTTAAACGTACCGATTGTCGTCAGCCTTTTCATGTTTTATATAATCTGCGATAAACCGAGAAGCTTAGCATTGGTCGAATTTGAAACGCCAGTTCGACAGTTAGCTCATCGCAATGTGTGCTCTCTGCGCAAACGGAGAAAGTCGAAAAGTTGGAGAATAAAATTGGTAACGCGTTCTCCCATCGATTCTCGCAGTTACGGGCAGGAAGATTCGTCGAGCGGCATTCGTTTTCGAGTCGCGCAACCCCCATTCAGTTCAGTTAAGTTTAGTTTTTCGGCGATAATTAATCCAGGAACCATAAGGACCGTTAAGAAGTTCAGCCTTGCAACTTTGCCGAGAAAATGCAAATTCTGCGACAACGACCAAGTCGCGACTGTAGCGTACCGACAACCGAGAACAGACGTAGTCAAAGAAAGCCGGCCTTTTCATCGTATGTCAGTAATGTATAGTATCCATTTCGCCTGTATCACCCATCTTGCGGTTGGCCATCATCGTCATGAGCATCATACTTCCGCTACTGTTTAGCGTATCGTACTCTAGAACCAGTCTCTTTATATGGCTCAACTTTTCGTGCAGATAATGGAAGCGACGTTTCGTCTCCCTTTGCATCGGATCGCGCTTCGTTTCGTTATACTCCATAAGAATTTGCCGTTTGACCTCCTAGAAAAATGAAGAAGAGAGAGAGAAAAAAAAAAAAAAAAAAAAAAAAAAAAAAAAGAAAGAAAGAAATCATAAGAAAAAGTAGAAAGGGCGAATAAAAGATGAAGATGTACCCGCCGTTTACGAAGAAATCAAACGTACGTAGTAAATCTATCTAGCCGCCGGTTCATTCCTCGCAATCCGGTTTCATTAGAAAATTGATGTTTACCTTGCATCCTTCTATATTGCCCATCGCTTCCTCTTCCTTCAGGCGCTCCTCCAATTGCTTGAAACGTCCCGAGACCATCGCCATTTGAGCGTGCAATCTTTTATATTCCTCGTAGTCCGCGTTAAATTCAGCTTTATAACGTCGTCTCTGTTCCAGGCTGCTTATTGTCGTATAATATCTGTCGCAACCGTAAATCGTGCGATAAGAAGATCATCAATCTGCGAGATCGAAAGAAGGAAAGAAAGAAAGAAAGAAGGAAAGAAAGAAAGAGAGAAGAGCCGCACGCTAAGTAACTTACGCGAGGTAGCTAGGGTAGTCGGTAAACTTGTGGCTTTCCGGCGAATCGACATTGCACGTGGACGTCGTGACGGTGTTATCATCGGCGTTATCGTTGTACTCGGAGACAGGAAGATTGACGAGATTATGATCCGTGGTTGAGAGGGACGTGCCGCCGTTGCTGGCACTATTCCTCTTTCTTGATTCTCTCTCTCTATCGCCGCGAACCCGATCGCTTCTGTCTTTTCGTTCGGTGATCGTACCATTTGGTATAGCACTGTAACCACCGCTAGTACTATTGGTACCACCACCAGAACCAACACTAACTCCACCCATAGCGATGTTTCCTGGACCGCTCGTGGAATTGGCCACGTTGCGCGCAATATGATCTACACTTGAACCAATGCTATTTTCACTACTGGCTGGGATCGATTTGCTAACAGGCCCGCCGCCGCTTCCTCCTCCTCCACTACTAACACCTCCACCACCACCACCACCACCACTACCAACACCACCACCACCACCACCACCACAACCACCACCACCACTACTAACACCACCACTATTACCACCACTATTACCACCACTATTACCACCACTGACGGCACCAACACCGTGGTGATTACGATTGTTGCACGTTGAATTATTATGAGTTAGACTATTATGGGAATTATGGCTGACGGTGTTGACGTTCATGGTATTGCTCTCGCTGCTCGAGATAACGGAGTCGCTTTGATTGCTCGCGTCGCCGATGTTATTCATCGTCGTTGAACAAGTTTTGTTGCCGTTGGCGTAGCTTCCGCTACCTCGTAACACTTCACTGTTCGATGTTCTTTCGGCCCGATAATCGGCACGGCGTTCGCGTTGTGGTTGCTGTTGCTGTTGCTGCTGTTGCTGCTGCTGCTGCTGCTGCTGTTGTTGTTGCTGTCTCTGGTCCCAGACATCAAATAAACCAGCGTTACCGCTAGTACCTACACTAGTACTACCACTACCACCACTACCGTTAGAGGCATTCCCACCAATACCGGCACCGACAACGACACCACCACTAACAGCACTACCTGTCGTCCTTCCGCTCTCGCCGGCTTTGGAAGAAGTGGAAGACAAAGACGAGGATGCGTTCGAGCTAGGCTCGGGCTTTTTATAATGCGATATTCGAGGCTTCTTTGTTGGCAGACCGTCGTTACCCTGATAATAGCCAGGTCTCTTGTTAAGAAGATTCGGCGGTGGCCCGGTTATTGCCGGTGGCGAACCCGGATGAACAGAATTTGGTGATTGTCCGCTACCTATGACATTTTACATAAATATTCAAATTATTATTAATTGTAATAAGAAAATCCACGTAAAATCCATCGTAAGATCCAGCTACGCACCGCTAGAACCACCATCGCTGGATCCGGGTGGCGTAAGGTTCTGAGGTTTTCTCCTCTTCAGCATGGCCTTTTCCTGTTCCGTGTAATACGGCCAATCCTCCTGGACGTCGTTCCAAACGTACCTATGCAGATGATACGTGTTGTCCCGCATGAAGGCGACTTGCTTCAGAATCGTTGTCATGCTGCTGCGTTCGCGTTCCTTTATTCCTTCTAAAAGATCGCGATTAACGGAGAATGGATTAATGGAGAGATGATCGTAAATTTTTAATCTAAAATAAACAACCGCGGTGTATCTTTTCTTTACCTCTGCTGATGCGATCGTACAACTCGGGTTTCTTGTATGGTCTCAAAGCAAGTAGGTGTATCAGCCGTTCTCTACAAAATAGAAACGGAACGAAAGGGAACGTTATAACGGTTATTAGTACGGAGAAAAAGATCTGACGTATTATTAATGGCGTATACGGAGAAGAAGAAACGTACTTGAGAGGTCTTCGCATAATGTCGGAGACCTTTTTCTCCGGTTGATTACGAACGATCGATGGATTACTGCTAGGAGCCGGTTTGTAGGTGGAAGACAATCTCGATTGATTACCGCCGATGGACGATGGCGGAACGTTCGACGACGACGACGACGACGGTTCCCGATGTCTCGGATTGCTCGACGCCGTTGGTATCGTTCTTCCTGTACTTTTAACCTTTACCTTTCGACCGATGTCCGGTCCGTTCGCTTTGATCACCCTGGTGCTACGGATTATAAGAAAGAAATCTCACTATAATAAGGCCTGTCGCAAAATAACGAATAAAAGCCTATATTTTTAGAGCGTTAATGATGCTCGGACAACGGCGATATCATAGGAGGAGGAGGATGAAAAAGCGATCGTTAGCTGAGAGAAACGGACATTTGTCGCATCCAAGTTTCAACGCGCCGGACGAACTCTTTATTACGTTACGCAATGCGCTTCTCGCGCTAACACCGTCAGGTCACAATAAAGCACTGCGCTCTCTTCATGGGGGAAGTGGGGGAAGTCTCGATCGAGGATTCAACCGTGACGAACGATTGCACTTGTGAGGCGCTCTTAGCCTTGGCCGTGGTTCCGTCGTTAAAGAAATTAGGTGTCGCGCGTCGCCTCACCACCTAAGGCCTCTATCTCATTATCGATTTTGAAAATTCAAAGTAAACATTATAAATAATTTTTTATATCCCCTCTAGAACGATGATGTGCATTCGTTATATTCTCTCCGAGAATTCATCATAGCTTACGGAAGAGAAAGTACGGTCCCTTTTTCCTATGTCCTTTTTTTTTCCTCTCACAATAGTTTTCCACAATAGTTTTTCGTTAATTTTAGTCATCGATCATCGGCCGATCGACTACTTACCATTTATTCTTATTATTTTCTTCTGCCACTGCCATTCGATGTCTAGTTGTCTCGTAGACATCGTCGTTCGCCTGTATCCGCATTTTACATGGCAACGCTCCGAGGCTTTCCAGACTCCTGGATAAACAATGAAAAATGTGATAGGGTGCACAGATATAGCCGAAAGAAAATATTACAGAGTTGCACTGTTATCGACTGGAGTTTCGAATTTATTGAACTTCAGCTAATAAAGAGCAGGTATAAAGTTGAAGAGCAGGTATATAGGTACCTTTTCTTCGCCAAGGGTAAAGATTCATAAAATATACCTTCTAATTGTTCAATAAATCATGAAAGATTTTCAGACGCTTTCTAACAAAACGTTTGGGCCTATGTCTAATTTTAAGATATTAAGCAGATAACACTTTTGTATTTTCCTTTTTATTATTAGCTCTTTTAAGAGAGATCTTTACTCGATAGATTTCGTCGAAAAGCTCCTTCCGTCTATATTGCCATCTTAAATCGTTCATCTTTTTCTTCTCTATGACGTTTCTCTTTAGCCAATGGTTAACTTGGTTAATCGTTCAATGCTCGAAAGTTCATTTAGGAGAAAGTCCATTTTAGAAACGTACAAACCATTTCACCTTTCATACTCGCCAAATATTTAAAAAAAAATGAAGAGAATTACAAAGCAATACTCACGTTGGACCTGTTTGCTGAATGCACTCGAAGCCACCCTGAGGACCCTCGATGTCTTGATTGCCGGACAGGCTGAAGGTAAAACCCGCCGAGCCATGGCTAGATTGCGTGGATGGGAACGACAGTTGCTGAAATAAAGAAGACAAGGAAGTGTAGATCAACTATCGTCGTTTGGTGCGATGAAAATAACGGAAGATTATTTTCGAAGGCTAAATGTTGAATTTGCAAAAAGGCGAGTTAAAATATCGAATTGAAATGTATCCTTCCTTTCTCTACGAACGGTTAAATCTCTGTGACATACCTTCCAAAGCTACGACACGTGGCATTTAAATGCGGGGCATTTAATATGACAATCAATTCGAGCGGAGAGCTGTTTTTTGTTTTTTTCTTTCTTTGGAAAAGATCGATTCGATAGAGAGTGCCATACTTGAATCGATTTTACTTTATTCTCACTGTATACTCTCTCTCTCTCTCTCTCTCTCTCTCTCCCTCCCTCCATGTCGATTCCAATTTCTTCGAAAGTCAATCTCTTTCTCCTCCCTCCCTCTTGTCTTGGGTGAACTCGGAACGAGCGACGATTTCGCAAGAGTCGATCGTACGAGGCCCCCTATTTTCCCCATCTTTCCTTTCTCTTCTCCTCTCTCCTTCTCTTCTCTCCCGCAACATTCTCGTCCTGCCAAGAGAACTCGAGGAGTTCGTAATGGCACCTCGACATTTGAGAAATTGCGGCTTTTTCTTTCTCTTCTCTTTCCTTTTTTTTTCTTTTATATCGCCCAAAAGCGCGCGCGCGCTTCTTATCAAATTTATTATTTCGCGGCGCATAAGCCTCGATCGATAATAAAATGGACAAAATGGACGAAATGGATAAAAAAAGAGTTGGAAGGCTCCTTTTAAATTCGAGCAAAGTCGAGAGGGAAGAGGAGGGAAGCAGCTCGGTGTCTCGAGCTTCTCTCACGGGAATTTACGTATCGAGGCCAAGGGGGGCCTCCCCCTATCGTCGAACGGTCTCTCTTAAACGAAAGGTCGAATCGCGCGGGAACGCGCGATATGAAAGTTTCGTGAAGGGAGCGCGCGCTTACTGCTGCTGGCTGGGAGCGCTCGTCGTTTCAATTTCATTGCGCGGCCGTCCGAAGTGCGTCCACTTTCGAAATTGATCGATATCATTGATCGATATTATCGTCGTCGTCGGCGACGGCGGCGGCTGCGGCGGCGGCGGCGGCAGCGATGCAATCGGAAACATTATTAGGAAATGATAACATTTATGTATGCCGAGGCGAAAGTCAAATTTTCGATCGGTGTAAAAAATGTCTCGACTCCTTAGTAAATGTTCGTTCGCGAGTGGTCGCGATTAGCGAGAGGTGGCAAACGCCCACCTACTCTCGCCGTGCCAGCTTTGAATTATTTCGGTCCCAAAGGCCACGAAACTATCCTAGACGCATGCCTACTACGTGACATTCTCGTGAACGCGGGTAGCGCCGCCTAGAAAGCAACGAGCCGTCGATCGAATCTCGTGATAAAAGATAAAAGGAAAGAAAAGCTATGGGTCAATTCGATTTCATTTTCAAACGTACGACTTTTAATGGAAAAAGCTTGAGAGAACTCTTTTAGTCCAAACAAAACGATCGTACCGTTTTTCACCGTTCGCTGTTTCTTTAAAACGGACTTTTAAACGAGATACTTGTGCGATTGTCCCCGTCGACGGACAACTTTCACCGCTCGCTCGCAACGTCGCAAGAGCTTGTCTTTGCGAGCAATGCTTTTTTCTGCGCGCAAACGCGGAACGGACGAACGACGAATATACGAAATAAATCCGAGAGGCGCGTTCAACGAAACCACCAGATCGTTGCTTGCGGTAGAAAGATCGGGGAGGGAGAAAGAGGTTTGTAGCTTGTACTCGATGATAAAAGACTTATGGTACACCCGAGGCTTCGTATTTCATCTCGATCGTGCTTTCGTCATCCACTTGCGTCATACCTTTTCCTCCCACCCCCTGTTACACGCATGCACACACACACACACATCACGTCCATTGATTCTTCCCCTTTGGACATTGAAAACTTGCTTAAAATGTCGTTTGTCTTTTTTACGACGTTCGACGGGGATATAATTAAGGGGGAAAAAATATTAAGGCTCGTATCGTACTTGGAAAAAAAAAAGAGAGAATATAGATGGAAGGTAGAGAGATAGAGAGAGAGAGAGAGAGAGAGAGAGAGAGAGAGAGAGAGAGAATTTTGAAATTCGCACACCCGCATCCGATCTTATCCTGGACTAAATATAAGTAAGAGAGAAAATTGTCCTCGACTTGGGATAAAAGGGCACAAGGTCGTTTATAGGGGCGCACCGAGTAATCGGCGCTCGAGTAGACACTCTCCTCGTCAATTTTAATGTTTATTCAAAAAATGCCATTTTCATTTACGCTCTTTATATATCCTCTTTGATATCTCGAGGAAAGTGAAAGATAGAACGAAAAAAGAAGAAGAAGAAGAAGAAGGAGAAGAGGAGTACTTTCCTCGTTAATTAAGGGAGTAAGGGGCGAACGTTCGATTCGCGTACACAATGACAGAAAATAAATCGCGCGGACTGAGTGAAAGTCAGTGAGGCTTGCGCGTCTGCGCCTGAGAATCAGGCAGGGAATCAAAGAAGGCAACGACGGCACGATAACCCATTAAATCGAGAGACACGTAGAGACCAACCGGGTCGAAATACAAAGGAAAACTTGTCCGGCTCTCTTCTCAAAATCCAACAAAAAATCTACGCCTCGTATGACATAGCAATTAAACGTTTATATCGCGTTTGCGTTAATATGGGCTCGTTAACGGTCGGTGTCGTTAATAAAGAAAGAGACGTCAAACGATGGAACACGAAGAGTTGAAAGGACGTTTGCCTAAGAGGGTATCAGGAGGACGATGCGTCTCAATTTTCTCCGATTGAAAAAAAGATAGCTCTGTAATTTTGTTTGGAGCATACGAAATATGATGAATGACTCTAATTAGCGAGAGAGGCGTCAGTTAAAAATTCTTAGCTCGTCTAACGCTTAGGAAGCTCCGTGAAATTGCACGTTGTAATTTAGATGCATACCCATTTAGTTTCTCTCGTCGAAATTCTCTGCGGTTTGGTTTCACGGGCCGCGAGTTGAAATTGTTTACGGCGGGCAATTAAGAAATAAAGAAATTTAAGAGCAATGGCGGAGCTAGAAAGGCCTTTTTTTCGCGAGTCGATCGCGAAATTCTTGGTCGCGCATCGCCGATCGTTTCTCGCGCCTTACTTATAATAATAACAATAATAATAATAATAGGAGGGGATAGGGATATTTCATTACGTTAAGGTAATCCCGCGCTCTCTCGCGCGCAATAGCCGGCGTTATTACGAAATCGGGATGGCGACGGCGACAGAGCCACGATCCCTTTCTAACGCGCTCGAGAGACGCCTTTTCGTTCTCCGATTTCGGGTTAACGATCGGAGGTGAAAGGATAACCGATAACCAAGCGCGGGCTTTATGATTATAATTGTAGCCTTCGCCACCACACGCCTCTCCTCTCCTCTCCTCTCCTCTCCTCTCCTCTCCTCTCCTCTCCTCTCCTCTCCACCGAGAAAAAGTGACGTAATCCGACGCTTCGTTGAAATCGAACTCGATGGAAATTCTCTGGAGTTTAATGGCGTAGCGTAAAATGATCCACGTTGAAATTGGCGACGATCGTTATTATACAGGGCCGGTGGCGGGAGGAGAATGAATCGTTCGTTTCATCATTTTTTCTTTTTTCTTTCCTTCTCCTTTATTTTATTTTCTATCTTCCTATATATTGGAACGGCGCGCGTTCCTATATCGACGCGACCGACTCGCCGTTCCAATAATCATTTCGTTTTGTTTTTCGCAATCGACGAAATATCTCGATGATTAAGTAAAATCGAATGTAAGCGAAGTATATAAACGATGCTTTTTAGAAAGTTCGAGGGCCTCGTTGAAAAGACGAAGAAATTGCTTTCGCGAGGGATCGATCATATCACTTTCGTTTCGAATTCCGTAGCTCACGCGTTTCGGCACACGCGTCGATTTATAAGAGTCTTCTCGGCGCTTCAAGAAAATTAGTATTCCTTGGCTGGAAAAGGCCTAGACCCGGTGTGTATCGTCGTCCAAGAAAATTGCCTAATCTCTACGCAGAGAGAGCATAGCTTTCAGCGTCTTTGCCCTGAATGCCCTGAAGAGAACGAAGGATACGCATAAAAAATCGGCGATGGATTCATTCCCCCTTTATACTGGGCATTGCCCAGAGACAAATTCTTCAAAGTGGAACACAGCCGTTGTGTCAGGCGTATGGACGGAATTACTAATAAAGAAAAATCGATAACGTCATTAAACGAGGCGCATGCACCCTCGTCGGTCATTTGAAGTATTTTCGTAGAAGGCGCGCGCGACCTCAGGCGCAACTTGTATCCTTTCTCGAACATTAAATAAATATATATCGTGGAGCGACGTGTTGATACGCTCGACTCGTTACGCCGAGCGAATTTATTCCTTTCGCGCGAAGGAGTACGCGCTAGCCGCCCACGATCATTATTCCGACGCGTCCTTGGTATCGATTATGAAAATGTCATCGGAGATCGAACCGACGAGAGATTGTTGCACGTCGTCGATAATATCTTCTGATTATAGATTCCTTTTCGGCTCGTCATTAAAGATATTAGAATCTAATAATAGGAAGAACCGAAAATGGGAGCGGGGAGGAAGAAGCGGTCGAGAAAAACGTAACAAGTTCTATTCGTTTCTATATTCGTCCGACCGGCGGAAAATAGTTTTCGGGACGACGCGGATAATTGCAAGGGCGACGGCATCGACATAGATTTACACACTATATCGGTACATTCTTGCTTGGACACTCGTCCCTGATTCACCGCTCGCACGGCGCGCGCTAACTATAAATAATACCCTTCTGAATCATCGATCCTCTAATATGCCATCGCGCCCACCCTTTCCTCGAAACAAGAGTACCGCAAGAGTTCCAAGACGCCATCGGCATCATTCCATTCATCTTTCGTTCATTCTCCATTTCTTTCTCTCCTTCTCCCCGTCGAAATATTGAGCACGCTTAAGAGAAAAGATTTTCTTTCGGGAGATTATTAGCCACCCACC